TGGGATCATGGCATAGTACATCCTGTCTGTCTGTCTCCAGAGGCTTTTGATACATTCTGAAGGATAATTCAGATTTTATGTCTTTGTTGTATAGGTCTAAATCCGATTATTATACCATTCTTAGGTTTTAAAGCAGTGTTTGGACCAGATTATTCCATTTTAGCAATTTATCTGAAAAATGTAGACACAATTTTTTCCCACTCAATTACATAAATTGATACTATTCTAATTCAAGATTAAGTTACTGTACAGTGAAACATCAATTCTGTCATTCTGAACTTTTCAAATTAACTCATTGTGCTCCTTAAGGTTTGAGGTTCGACATTTTGAGCCGGTTAGCTTCATTTAGCTTAGCACAAAGACTAGCAGCAGGGGAAAACCACTATCCTGGCGCTTTCCAAAGGTAACAAAATCAACTGTTCATGCAAATTACACTTTCACCAATTTTTAAAGCTTCAATGGTGCTGGTAAGGTGCTCTTTTTAACCGCTTCCCCTCTGCTTCCACTCTTTATGCTAAGCTAGGCTAAGATAAGCTAACCGGCTGCCGAATGTGACCGTATATTTAGCATACAGAGGCGATACTGGTATGGTATCGATCTTCTCATCTAACTCTCTGCCAGAAAATAACTAGGTGTATTTCTCACAATGTTAAAAGTATTACTTGAAAATATGAGAAACACCACGTAAATTGAGAATTCCAATATGTTATTTCCATGGCCTCAGAAATTTCAGTCAGTATTTGTGATCGTAAGCTACTCTCTCTCAAGGCCAGGAACCAGAGAAGTAAGTCTTAAACTTGTGATGTCATCGGGTATAAAGTCTGGAGTTGCTCCATAGACAATGAATGGGAGATTTTGTGGACCCACAGTGAGTGTTTGTTTTCTTGTTTATACCCAAATGAGCTTTATTTCATTGTAGTGTTCTCAGAAAATTTACTCATATACTCAGTGTCATCTATAACATCTTTACTGATTCATTGTCTATAGAGTAGCTCCGGACTTTATACTTGATGACATCACAAACTTCAGTTTAAGCACTCTAGTGTTTGGAATTGAGAGAAAGTTTTTAATATTTTCTAATATTTCTGCATTGTTGTAGACCATAGGAATAACTCATATGAATTTTGAAAGTGGGCATGGTTCCCCTTTAACATTTGGAGATACATGGTTTTCACTGGAGAGCAACAAAACCTGCCCAATTTAAATATACTTGTATGAATGTTTCCACAGACCTAAACCACACTTATGAGTTCTTTTCTTATAGAGAGCCGAAGTCAAACAGGAGCTTCCAGGTTGTGTTCCACAAGTAAGTAAACCTCATTTAAAATCCCAGTGACATTTATGCTAATTACTAAAGATACAGTCTTGGAACAGAGCTGTTGTCGACAGTAGGCTACGTCATGTGGCTCGCTTCATATGTTCAGATAAGGACGGTAGTTTTTGAAAAACGATCTAATGTCTTTGTTAATTCGATATCTCTATATATGTGTTAGTGGCTTTAACAAACACAAGCTCCCATAAGCCCTAGAGGTTTGCGGCTAAATGTCAGGACAGAGAGGCCTGAAGACTGTAGATGTGTTGAGGCAGTAAAGATTACAAGAAGAGAGTTGAAAAATTACTTTAGAGGAGAGCATTGGAAAGTTTAGTGAATATGGACGAAATCAAGTTACAATGACGAAAGTACTTGTGCTGCCGTGGTTGTAGTTTTCTCATAGAACCTTTTTATGCTCCAAGTATCTGAGGTTTCCATTTCAGAAAGCAACTGCTGTAGTGGATGCCGATTTGTCTCCAAGTTTAGAAAGTTGATCCCAAGGGACTTAATTGTTTCAGAAAGATTGATAAAGGAAATACTGAATGAGAGGTTGCACTGAGTGACAGAGGCTAATGGAACAGAGGCTAGCCCGGATGTGACGTCATGACTTCGGCTCTCTATCGTGAGGCAAAAGAACTACGTGAACACAAAACCTGAATTATCCTTTCAACTTTATACAAATTCATTTAAAGAAATAAAAGATAAAAACAAAGACTCTTTAAAAAAAAAAGTTAATCTGATTTATCCCAGTTTCTCAATAAATACCACAATCTTTGTTAACATGGTGTCATGTAAGTGATATAATCTCTACAATGCCTTTGAACACTGCATAACGCCACATAGCATCTGACATTTAATTTCTTCATAAACACCACTGCGGGGCAGAAATGCACCAGTGTCGGCTCTCAGGTTGGTGTCAGTTACAAATGAATAATTTGGATCCAGGTCCAAAAATGTAACACCACACTCTAGATTTTTCTTGTTTGAGCCTTCTGCTGAAATACAACAGGCACATTCAGGTTCACCAATGTTTGGTCTTCAGTGAAACCCTCTGCAACATTTCTGATGATTGCATGGATGAGACTCTGCTGGTGTGGTCTCATGTTTGTATGATTCAAAACTTAAACGTAAAATTAGTACTTTTCAACCTGGACCCTATATTCCCATACTTTTGGGTCTAAGTGACTAATGGGAACAATAATTTTTTTTTTTTTTTTTTTTTTTTTTTTAAATGGTCCAGTATTGAGGAGACCCCTGCAGCTGGCAGCAGCAAAACAGGCTGAAATGTAATCACTTGGGGCATTCGTGCACCGTCAATTTCCATCCATTTAAAGTGATGATTTTTGCCACTGACAGGCTCAGATTTTTATTACAAGTGTCTCACAACATTATGGAAAGGATCCCTACAGAGATAGACCTTTTTGTTTGACAGTAAGATCCTTTTTGTTCAACCCGAAACAGCCCCGAAACTGCTTTCGTCAAACCCACCAGACTCCATTTAAATAAACAGCAATTTTATCATGTTAAAACATCCTTCATTCAAAGTCGACAGAAACAAAATAAGACTCAAAAAAGCAGACTTGGTTCGTCTTTCCACTGTTTCAACAATCGCCCACTCTGATGTAGTTGAAATAAACCCTAATTCACACAGTTAGATGTAAAAATATGCTGTCTCTGTACACGCTTAAATTGAGGGGTTTTTGAATGGAGGTTGGTTTGGCAATGACGACTTCAGGGCTGTTTCTGGTTAAACAAAAAGGATCTTACTCTTTCACTAAAAGGTCTATCTCTGTAGGATTGCTTTTCACAAGTTGTCAGATGCTTGTGATGACAATCTGAGTCTGTCAGGGGCAAAAATAAACACTTAAAGTGAATGTTAATTGACAGTGCACAAATGCCCTGAGTGGTTACACTGCATCCTGTTTTACTGAAGCGACTGCAACCCTTTCGCTCAATATTAGACCAGTTTAAAGAATTGTTGTTCTCATTAATCACATTAGACACAAAAAAATGAGAAAATATGGTCCAGGTTGAAAAATACACAAGTTACCCTTTAAGACAAGTGGGGAAATATTAATAACACATTTCTACCAATTTGTTATCCTACACACAGCCTTGACAAACCTCTACGATAACCACTTCCTTATTACTACCTTAAGGAGATTATCCTTTTGTATGAGAGGGTTTCTTGGCTGTGTCGAATACTGAACAGGACAATAAACAAGAGATCAATCAGTAGTTACATTGATTGGAAGAAAATATAAAGCTACTAACAACAATAATATCACTATATTTTAACCGCCGTCGTGTATTTTGTTCAGGTTAGCGTTCAGTTCCATATGCACTGCAACGTAGTGATTCTCTCAGTGAACTGTAATACTGCGGCCGTATGCAAAATCAATCTTTGATCTCATGAGTTAGTTTTAAAAAAGTACTTTTAACAATATTCATCTTCATAAACTTTTTTTTTTCTTTTTTTAGAATGACGTCTATGCAATGTCACCATTAGTACAAAATCTACTGATTTCATGTTAACTGTTAACAATGCTGTTCTAAACTACAAATGTAGTTTGAAACAAGAAGGGGGCATCATCTCCAAACCACACAACTTCTGATTATCTGAGGCTGTAAAAATGGCAGATAAAGGCCATTACCATGGAGCCCAAAAAAGAGGAAAATATCTATTTGGTAATAGGGTCAGACAAACAAAACATAGAGATAGGCACTCCTTGTGCGAAGTACAATCCTATTCTTCTCCACCTTTTAGCCCATCACATGAAGTGGTTACAAAAATGGTTATGATAAAATACTTACAAACTAAAAACAACAGTCCATGTCTTTTTCAAAAATGTGTTCACACGGAAATGTTAAATATTTCATATTCAACATGTCTATAGCTAGCCCAACGAACTGAGGTAAACTCACTGGCTGTCTGCAGCTAAGTGATGAGTGTATACTGACGGTATAACACAGAGCTGGCAGAAAAACTTCACCCTGGATGTGTGAGGCAAACACGCCCATTCAGAAACATGTGTGTAAAACCTTCAAAAAGGGCTTTGATTGTAAGATATATTTGGAGTCACAAGTGACGAGCCATTTCAGGGCTGATTCGTTGAAAATGCGGCGTGACTCTAGTGCGACAAGTGGCAATTTAATTAACAAACAACTGCATGGAGGAGGTAGAAGGGGGTCTGGGAGGAGGTAAGGAGTTTGTGGAGGAACAGCGCATATGAGGTAGGCTTTTGCTGTAAACAAAAAAAAAAAAAAGTTTTGCAGTAAAAGAAAAAAAAAAGTAACTCATCAAATCTGGGAAGGAAGACCAGGGAGTCTGTGGCAACACTAGGGAACGTCTCACACAAAACCTCAGTACAATAGAGACCTACAGTTAATCATACAAGCTCATCAAAAAATATACAAAACAAAAAGAAATGCACAACTATGTATAACTCAAGAGGTAGTTGCTAATATCAGTACATGAATCGGTTACATACGTCTCTTCGCCATTGCTTAACAGAGTTTGTTGAGTCAGTCAGTGGATGATTCCCAAAAGAATAAAATACACTTTTTTGGTTAATTCCCTGAGAACAGTTCATCATCCTGAGAGGAATTGTGTGTAAAAATGTACAAATACATCATACAAAAAGATGTTGTTTCCATAAAGATTTGAGCATGGGCTGTGCTCATCATGTGGTTTGGTCATTCACTTTTTTTTTTCTCCTGTCATGCTGCATTGTTGATATTTGATTTTTTTTTTTTTAACGCACGCACACATTCAAAAAGCTGTACATTAAAAAAAAAAAAGAAAGAAATAACCGCAGTGTTGCGCTTTCAGCAATAAGTCGCTCTTATTGTGACAGAGCGAGGATAGCAAGCACTTCAGCAAACTTTAAATGCCTTCAAAAAAATAAAGCCAAACTCTTTGGTATAGAAATATACCAAAAGAAAGTTGGTTGTCTACTTAAGAGCTCTTTTTTAAAAACACACAAGCTAGTTTGATATCATCATACAAAGTTATTTGATTTGTCAGAACATTAAGATACAACTCCAAAGCGACCCCGACGAGAACTTTGTGAGGAGTCCACTTCAGATAAGCTCTTTTCACATTCAATATGGTCAGAGAAGAGTTGTTAGGTCACAAATAAGTGCCACTAAAGCCATGCTTGGGATTCAAGTTATACCAAAAGCAGCACTCTTTTTCTCTCTCTCTCTCTCTCTCTCTCTCTCTCGCTCTCTCTCTCTCTCCCTCTCTATCTCTTTCGCGCTCTTCAGTGAGTCTGAAGCAGCAGCAGCAGCAGCAGTGACGGCCTCTCATCATCCTAAAGAGGAGTGAGCATTACCTGGCTGGTGCTAACTAACAACTGGTAGGCACAGATGGAAGAGGAACAGGTGGTTCGATCTTACTGCAACACAGCTGGGAGAGCAAACAGCTTGGCGTTCTGTGACATTCGTTTCTCCAAAGAGGAAGAATTGGTGAGGTATTAAGTAAGTAAGAGCAGCTGTGATGACACTGTAATGGTCCGCACCTTTAATCAAACAAGGTGAGTCTTTGTGCTGGGTCGGAGGTGATCGCTGACTATAGATCGAATCACGATGTTTGTTCACAACAACTTCCAGGTAGAAAATCTTGACGCTGAGCAAATGCTTCCTTACTTGGTTAGTTTTTAGCCAACTAAACAAATCAATATCAGTTTAAATGTATGCTATATTCAAGATATTTCACTGCTGTAGCTTGCCTACAGAAAACCCTTTTCAATGGGGAACTGAAGCCACTATCTCAAAGCCACCAAACTTTATTGACAAAAACAGTTATTTTAGGGGTGCCCACTAGCTCACCTTGTAGAGCAGGCCCACCATGTACAAAGGGTGTGTCCTTGCCGCAACCATCACGGCTTCAATTCCAACCCTCTCCCCCTTTCAAGGCAATAAAGCCCCCCAAAAAATTTTAGAACATGGGATTTGCTGGTCTATTGCTTCCTCTGTCAGTTAGTGTGTAACATAAAGCAGTGAAAATATTCCAGATATAGCATAAACTTGAACTGATGTGATTTTTTAGCGGTACATTTCTTAGCTTCTATGCCGTTGTTGCTGGTTTGCAGGCGTTTCCGAGGATAGTGGAGGCATGACTCGCCCTAATCTCTTTCTGTTTGGCTGGTACACTTTGCTTCATTGGTTGGATTTGTTAGGTTTCGGCAAGAGGAGTGAGATTGGTTAGGTTTAGGGTACAGTCACGCGCAAATTGCATCTAGTAGAGTTCAACTTTGAGCTTTGACCGTCAAAGTCGCAGCCTCAACCGGTCGCAAAGACGTATATGTGGAGGAGATAGTGTTTGTTGCCATGTCTTACCAGCCAATACTGTAGATGACCATGACAGCGGTTGGTGGTGAGTTGGAGACAGATAACAGACAACCATTCACACTCACATTCACATCTATGGGCAATTTAGAGTCACCAATTAACCTGCATGTCTTTGGAGTGTGGGAGGAAACCGGAGTACCTGGAGAAAACCCACGTTGACACAGGGGTGAACATGCAGGCTCCTCATAGAAAGGCTCGAACCCTCCACCCTGGGTTCCAACCCTGGGTGGAGGGTTCGAACCCAAGGTGGGGAGCCTAGGAGCTCAGGAATCCTCTTGCTGTGAGGCGACAATACTAACCACTGCACCACCTTACCACCGGAACATGTATCAATAACATCATATTTTGCTGTATTTCTTAGCAAGCTAGCTTTCTGTGTCCATCACATCGGGTAACATCCACATCACTCATTGCTCGCGTGTATTCACTCACATGCGACTGTACCCTTAGGGTAAGACTGTCAGGGTAAGCCAATCAGATGCAGAGAAAGCCAGTGTGGGGCGGGTCATGCCTTCATCATCCTAGGAAAAGTAAATTAGTGTCCGGTAGATTTGGTTTGTCAAAGATGCTAGCAAAGCAACACAGTACAAAAACTAAGCACAGCAGAAACGTCAGATAGGTTGGACCAACATGCTTGACTCTGTATCTTTAAACGTTACAGTTACGGCTGAAAATAACAACCAGTTGTCTACCCAGAAGTGTTCGCACATCATCACAGTGATTCGGTCTATGTGAACTAATGAAAAAGAAGGCGTGGAGTAAAGTTTAAAAACAAAAAAGTCAGTTTGATTTGTCATGGATGAAAACGGTTAAATAGAGAGAGAGCTACAAGTTTTCACACAACAACATGTCCCATGCAATATACAGGGCTATTCACCTATGTCAGAGCTAATTCCTTATATATGCATTACTTAAAGTTAATAGAATTTCAATTATATCTTGTGACTTTACATATATATTAATGACTTATACTATGATCTTATAAACTGTTATTTTCAACTAATTATGCAACAACCAAAATGGAAGTCTAATGATTGATTCATTACCTTGAATCTAAACTAGGATCTAGCTGGATTACATGACGTCTTATCTAAGCTGGTCTATGTCTAATAATAGGAAACGTTAATAGTGTTGACTCGCGCCCAGAGAAGAGGCCGGTCTGACAGTTTCTTTCGGAGCATGCCCGACACACGCATACAAACACACACTCTGTGACAATCAGTTGGTCCAGTCTATTTCATGTAAGGGAGAGGTTTGTGAGCATTTCGAGGTTATAGAGAATGTGTTTTAGCAGCTCGCCGCCTTTAGAAAAATTCCCTCTGGAATCCGTAAAGTTTCCCTACAGATCTTCATAAGCCGAGCTAACAATCCTAACGGGTCTGGATTATCGCTTAGAGGGTCTCAAGCTTTTAAAAGTCTTCTTCTAATCCTTCTTAGAAATGAGCTACCGTGTGTGCCGTAAGGATGCAACATGATTTGCGGAATGATTAGGCCTACAGGATAGACATTTGTGGCTGTAAAATCAACAACATCTGTAAGGAAACAAAAGCATTCGAAATGGCCAACACTTAGGTCCAAGGAGGAAAAAGAAAAACAAGATTCATACCACGTTGTTTCACTCTTGAGCTGCACTGATTGAAACAAGAAAAACAGTCATTCCCTGCAGTCACCATTCCAGCGGTGGTTGCCATAGCTGCACAAGATGACTGCAAGTCAGTCACACACATTCACGCACGTCCGTACCCCGTTGATCGTTGCCATAGCTGCGCTGGTTAGAAAAATAAAAAATAAAATAAAAGTAAAGAAATCAAGACCTCCCATTTTTTTCACAGGTGTGAGGTAGATGAGGGTGGGGGGGCAGGGGGGGCTTCAGGTATCCTTGATTGAGGGGAGACATGAGGGTCGGGGGTTAGCAGGTGACAGGTTCACCTCTATGGGCTTTCTTCAGGATTTCCTCCACCTCTGGGTCCGGGGGCCGCGGTGTGTGTGGGGCTCCTCGGGGGAGGAGGAGGAGCCCTCCAGGGGAGACGAGCCGGAGCGCTCCTCCTCCTCGGGGGGGCAGAGGTAGGGCCCGGTCCCTGGGCTGAAGGCCGAGGTAGACGCATGTTGGTCCTGAGAGCCTGTGGCGGGCGCCAGCGCCTTGTGGGGACACTGAGCCACCATGTGCGTGATGCTCTGGCAGTAGTGGCATTTCTTTGGCTGGGGGGGCAGGCCACACTCCTTGGCATGGTGATCCAGACCTCCACAGTTATAACAGCTGCACAGGGTGGAGGAGACAAGGAGGAGAGACAACAGAAACCCTCAGCACATTGTGACACACAAGACAGTTTATACGTTGAAGGGAGACACTACAGATGTTTTTTCATGCACTAGTCCAAGGGTGTAACTTTTGATTTAACATCAGGGGGGGACACATTTGAAACAAGGGGTTTGGGGTCGTCCCCCAGGAAATTTTGATGGTCAGATACTTAAGAAAATTTAAGGTGTTTTCTGAAATTTAAGTATGACACTTGAGGCTTGATTTCTCCTCAGCTGAGCTACTTACACAGTTGCACAGAATCCCTTCCTTAGTTAAGGAAAAACATTAATTAATTTACTGCTTTGAAAGACACTTTACAGCAGTAGAAGTCTCCATGGAGACGGTTTGTTCGCTTGGACTCATGCTTGTGATGCCTGTTGTCGTCTCACAAAGTTGGCTTAAAGTTAGTTAATGAAAAAATGGTCAAAAAAAAAAAAAAGACAAGAAAAACATATTGGTCAGAGGAGGAAAATATTATACTTCTGGCGGACTGTAATCATACAAAGTAAATTTGATCCCCAAATAGCAAAAAAAACAGAAATTGCAACGAAAATTAATTCAGTCAGATCTACAGTGTAAAATCAAAAGCATAACCACTGGGCTCTCTTGGTCGCAGAACACTTTTCTCCAGGTGTTTTAATTTATCACCATAAACTCAGTCATGTTGCAGTTAAGAAGAGGTTGAGTCAGAGGAACCTTTGGGTTTTTTTATACCTTGCTTTGGTTTCTAAGGTCTTTTGTGCAATGGTCCAAGGATGCTTAATGGTTATCTCCTTGTCTTGGTCTTATACTTAAATACTCAAGTGACCATTTTAAGGAAACATTAAGGAGAAGGCTTAAGGGTGTTTTATGCAACTGATTTTATTTTGAGGAGACTTTAACTGGAACTTTAAGGAAAATCTTAAGTTAAGGTGTTTGGGCAATACACTGGTCACTTCTGAGATTTTAGACTATTTTGCTTCCATATCTTCTTTCAGACTTGTGAAAAGAAAACATCCAAAAAATACATATTTAGTCGTTTATTTTAGTTCAGATTTCTGCTCTGGGAATTTATGAAAAAAGCCAGTTTTCATTCGATAATGCCTCATTTGAATGTTTAAACAACAAAAAAAAAAAAATAAATAAATAAATAATAAAATAGTTGTATTAGTTGTGTGGTAAAATTTTACCTTATTTACCTGTAGTGTCTTTTTTTGCTCTAATGTATGGAATGTTACAATACATGTATTTAAAGGCCATTTTCTCACAGTCTGAGCCAAAATCTCCACTTCAGTAGCACTTACATACACAAATTTTTTAGTTTTATTCCAATCTATATTACTAAAGGTTTTACCAAGTTTACTGAGGAGTTTGTTCATAAATCAATCATAGCCTGATTATTCTTAACATTTTATTTCTAAAAACATGGTGAATCCTATTAATTTCTTTATTAATGTATTCATTAATTTATTTTTCATGGCTGTTGACAGCATTTTCTGATTTATGGAGTGATAAAAAGGATATCTGTAAAATGTCTGATACTAAATATGTCAATTCAATTCAGTTTTATTCATAAAGCCTAATATCACCAATCAAATCTGCCTCAGAGAGGATGACACAATGAAAAAAGAATTTCAAACATGGCTTCATCCAATGTTCAGATTTCTGTTCTAGATGTCTGAGATATTGCTTATTAAATTAAACAATTCCCCCATTTGCATTTAAAAAAAAAAAAAAAATCAGAAAACTTGTGATACAAACGTAACTGTCTTAATGTTAATAATCAAGTGGGGATGTTTCATGGACATATCTGTTAGTTAAAATGTGTATGGTATTCCCCTGTAGCGTCTTAATTTTGGTCTAAAAAGATACAGAATATAACAATGAATATCTTTCAAGGCCATTTTCTCAAAAAAAAAAAAAAAAGTTTCTTTCTCGCACTCTAAGCCTGAAATCTCCAATTCTGTAGTCCTTACATTACTTACAGTTTGATTCTTATATATATTCTTGAGGGTTTGATAGAGGCATTTGTATATCATTCATTGCCTAATTTATAAAACATTTTATTCCTAAAAGCATTTAAATTAGATTTGTTTTTATGGCTGTTACTACCAGTATTTGCTGATTTACAGAGTTATTAAAAGGCATCCAAAATTCCCTCTGTAAAACCTTTAACTCTTAATATATTGACAAAATTAAGGATTTTGAACCTGGCTTTATCTACTATTTATGTTCTGGAAATTGCAACAAATTTGTACATAGTTACCATAAAACATTAATTAATAACCCGGGTTATTATTTGCTTAAATCACTGAAATCAACAGGTTATATGGGACAGGCCTTTGATTCTTTTTATGCAAAACTGTTGCTCAGCAAAGATGGAAAATATAATCAAATTATTTATTTAAACCAGTATAAATATTACTTGTATAAAAATCAGACTTCAGATAATATATCAATTATGAAACATTCATTTAGCTTCAACAGACAGAGCATCAGAGAGTGAGTTACAACACCCAGCATACCAGCACAACCCCACTTTATCCTTTTAAAACAATACTCACACAAATAGTTATCAAAAATAACTGTGTTGTTACAACACATGAAACTTAGAGCTAATCCATATTGTGACTTTTGCCGAGACAGTATCACCGGTACTTTTTTCCACATGATTTGGCAGTGCCTGCAGGTAAATAGTTTTTAGAAAAAGATTTCCAGCACTATGTCTGATATTATTGGAAAAGCCATCCCTCACTCACAGCGCTTGCTTTAACTTAATGAAGCTTCTTCTTTACGGCTAAATATAAATGATAGGCGCCTCTTGTTAGCTGCTAATAGGATGGTAGTTTGCCGCTGTTGCTGAGGCAATGGCTCTCCTCTTATAGAGATACTGCACAGCTAGAGCTTTCTACAGCACGTCTACAATATGCTAAGATACACATTATCATTTATTGGTCAGACTCTAGAAAAGATAGGTGCTTTGATGTAACTATCTGCAGTTATTCTGATTTCTTGCTATTTTCTTACCTATGTTGTATGTTATACATATGTTCTGTATTTCCTTTGAGGACTTGTATACATATATCTCATATATCCTCACAGCTATTTCTGCGGATATCATCACGGATGATGGAGGAAATTGGCATCTGTATTTGAATCCTGGTTTATGTCTATAACTGTTATTGGATTCCTGGCTGGCAAACAGGTGGGGCTGGAATAAATGATACAGAAAGAACGGAAGTGGTATAATTCTTATTATATTTTATTTATTATCAATATTGCTTTTTATTTATTATTATTATTTATTTTTATTTTGTCTGCATGTTTTTGGTTTGTGCTTGTTATAAGTCAATGGACATTTTCTTATAGAGCTGAGTTTAATAGTAATGATGGTGATAATTATTTATTTATTTCTTTATCTATCTATTTTATTATTTTACTATTACTTTATTTCATTTCTACACTTTCTTTTTGTTTTGTGCTTGTCCTAAGTCCATGTACATTGTCTTTTAATAGTAATGATGGTGATAATAATTACGATGACAATTATAATTGTTAGTCAATATCTGCCTTACATAACTAAGCTACTGGTGTTTGCAGCTCCGGTACTATGGTCAGATTCTTGTATTGTACATTTGTGACGGCATCACTGCCTTTCTCGCTTGTAATACAAACAATAAACAATTGCTCACAAAAATAAAATAAAATTGAACTGCTTGGCAACCAGACCAGGCATCAAATTGAGACAGGTGTTTTTTGCCAAAAAGTGTAGCCATACCAGGAGAATAAAAGGGATTGGGTATCTAACTGGGACTAGGTTTTTAACTAAAGTTTTACGGTAATTCAGTAATGGTTTGTTTGCATATTAAAATATAAAATTTGAGAAAACCTTTAATACAAGAAAAAAAAAATGTCTTAATATATGTCATCAGCTGGGGAAGTTTCATGGCGATGTCTATTAGTTGAAAATGTGTTCCATATTCACCTGTTTGTAACTGAAAAATGTAAATTTGATTTTTTTTTTTACTTAATCAACACATGCCTCTACTTATGAAGGATAAATTAAAATAAAAACTAAAATCATATCCTCATGAAACATCAGCACCATGGAGTTAAGCCACCTGCTGCAGCTCAGACTCAGCACTAGATGGCAGTATGACACCAGCTATGGCTCCGGATCAGCCGTGAGGAGCACTCTGTGGCATACCAAACTACACTGTGTTATTAAATTTGACAAGAAGCAATTGGGTGCTGAAAGAGCTAGAATAAAAAAAAAAAAAAGACAGAAGGCAAACGGTGGCCAAGATTTCAGCCCGTCAGGATGCCACCAACTGTTCTGGCACCACGTCAAATCAAATGGACAATTTTTGCTCTTTTACAGACAATAGATGCTCGTCTTTAAGGCTTCATGTCACTTTACAGAGATCTGTGTCTTTTTCTCTTCTTCTTGTTCTAATCTGCCGTGCAGTGCTCGACACATCTCACGCCACAACGTCTAAAAACAGACGACACATCCACTGGTTTTAAATTGTGTGTGTTTCACGGCGAGTTTAAATCAAGGATGAGGCCAAACAGAGGCTTTCGGTAGAAGCTAAAGCAGCAGCAGAACACAAAGGTTCACCATCAAGGTTTTAAAATGCTTCCAGTTTGAAAGCCGGTTAACAGAACGAGCATGTTGGCAAAATACTGCCACTTCATGAGAACACACAGGTTTCTCTCTAATGACGGCTAAAGTCTGCTTCAGTCTTCAGTGCTTTTAAACAGCAGCTGAATCAATTCCAGAGAGCATTTAACATCCTCCGATCCATCGAGGGATGTTCTATTTGATGCATTTATGCAATGCCTCCTTATTACACTACAGCTTGGGGAATTTATCATAAATACATCAGGTTGTAAGATGCTCCCAAAAAACTACAACTAGACAAAAAATAGCTTCAGTAGCATACTTCAAATTGACATAAAACAGCAATACTTCAAATCCACTGGTATCAACAATTATGTATTAATTTGAGGTAGAATTAAGGCGACACTTTGAAGTTTATTTTCTTAAAAATTAAACCAAACATCTTCCTTTAATGTGTTAGATTTAGCGTGGCTAATTATAAAACAGATTAATCTCATCTTAATAAATTCAAAGGCTTTAAACATCTTAACATTTACAGCAAACAATGTAGCGTCGGAAATACAATTACATTTTGCTTAGCAACAAGACTTGTGCAATTAAGACGCTATCATGTCTAAAGCTTATTTTTTAATCAATTAAAATGAACTATTTTGAAAAGGTCTGTGACATCATTTGGTGTGTTTAAGAAAGCCTGATCTCCTATTTGGAGACTAATTGTACATGTTTTATGTGACATATGTTGTTAGCAATTTTGAAGCCTTTTAACAGTTGAATCCATTTTCTTTTATTCACTATTTTTTGTGCAGTTTGTTGGACTGTTTATTGTTTTGTTTGCTTCCACTTTGATGTTGCATTATAGGAGCCTCTTGAAACTGAGTTGACCCATCTCAAGGGGTTTATCTTAAATGAATTAATTTGCATAAAGGTCACAGTTATGGGTACTTTGAATTTATGGTGATTTAAAAATCGCATGACCTATAGATGAACTATATTGCATATAAAAGAAACAGGAAACTGCCTTTTAGCTGAAAACATTTGGGGAATAACGCGGAAAACGGTTTGTGAGGCACCTTTAATTTTTATGGAGACATTTTCTTTAGGAGGCAGTGTTTTTGTTTTCGTACTGCTTCGTAATTATCATTATTATTCCCACTACAGCTGAATATTCCAACACAATTCTTACACAGCTGCAAAATATGAAAGAGCCCTGATGTTGGTGGAAATTGTCACTTTTCCATTTTAATTTCACTGGAAAACTATAAAAAAATATGTTGATATGATTTTTGCTGTGCTCTGCTGCAAACAAGCATGTTCCCCTTTACATCTGGAGTACCATTTTTAGGCCGAGGCATCTCTATAGCACCACAGTACTTCATTTACAGAGGTTTGCTGCTACACATTTTACCTTTATCAATAAATTGCAGCCTCTGCGGTGAACATTGTACTTGGCAATGTTGCCATTTCAATCATATTCCCATTAATGTTGCAGCCCTGCCCCACAGAGATGAGAGCCACACAGCAGCAGTGTAAAGAATGGACTACACACACAATAGTCAGGTTGCATAACAGAGTGACCAGCAGGGGTCAGAGCAGCGGTAACTGCCACAGGAGCTGACACTCACAAAGACACGGATGACATCACAGACATCTACCTGCCATCTCCGAATCCAACACCGCCTTGTTGCCACCTCAGGAGAAGGTAGAGACACTTGACCTAACACTGGATCAATTATCCCAAATAAACTGAATTATTCAGCTGTGTAAAACAATCAGGGAGCCTTCTCTCACAGATACTGTTTCCTGCTTTATAACAAAAGCTTTTCTCTTCACACCTTGCCAAAAAAAAAAAAAAAAAAATGGGACGACACAGCCGAAGCAGCTGTGATGCAGCAACATGAAGAGTGGCAGAGCTGGACTTTCTAATGTAAATGCTGCATGGCGGTCATGTGATGCCTCCCTACAGCAGATATACACTACACGCTCGGCTCTGCCTGCCAGCGTTTTGCTATACGTCGTTCTCCGTCAACAGGAGGACGGGAGGAAAACAGCCTCCTCTGCTTAAAACCACCAGGCGTTTTCAAGGAGCTCCATATGGCTCCCTCTGACAGATTTTAGCAAAGCACCCTTCAGGATTTTAGTGAGGACAAAACAATTGATTGAGCCACTGCCGCATTGAGATGCATATAAGCCCAATCCATCCCTGTGCTAATGCCGTCTCTAATGTAAAAGCTGGCAAATTGATTTAAAATAGCGGCAAAGACAGGCAAAGTGCCCTATTCAATTCCTTATTATGGTGCACAATAACCATAGCAACAGGCATGTACTCGGGCAGATTGAATAGATTTAATCTATAATCTCAGCCCACTCAGAAATGGCTGTCTGCAGTGAGATGTACATATAACATATGTCTCCCTTATAGGCAGCCAGGCTTGGTGAATGCCAGCTACCAACGCTCACATATAGCTTTTGTTGGAAGCCTAGTGAGGTGTGAATACATGCATGTGAATCAGTGCATTCCTGCAGATGTAGAAAACATAAAAATGATTTTAGAATTTTATCCCACTCACCGGTCTCCCTTTGGTTTGCGTTTCTGGAGTGGGACCTTCCCTTTGGGTCTCCTCTCGCTGCCTGCGCAGGGTCCCCCACCAGGTCCGGTCACCCGCAGGGACTCCAGGCCCTTACAGGACTTCTTATAGGTGAACTCCACCTGCTCACCCTCCTTTAAGCTGCGGAAGCCCTCCATCACCAGTTTGCTCTGTTGGGAGAACGAAAGCAATTATCCATTTAAAAGTGGCAGGCGCTTATAGCTCTTATAGCTTCAGACTCAAAGCGGGAAGTTAAGTCTGTTTCTGTGGGCGAGACGATAACAATAATTCTGATGGGGCGCTTGTGCCTGTGACTTTTGTCAGAGCACAATTCAATGCAGCACAGTGGTAAGAAAATATATATCTGACTCACTCAAACCCACATGGCCTTGAGTTATGAATCGTTTGGGAGCTCTATAAAGGCAATTCAAATCTCTCCAATATGTCGTTTTTTAAAGGCTCCATACACACAGTGGTATCAAGATGTGCTTTACCTTGGCGGGCTCTACTGGGTGCGTTTTAACCTCGAATGATACATTAACTTGACAAAGAGCACATGCTTTATACATAAACCGTCTTCAATGCACAGGTGAGAGGTTAAGAGACCCAAAAAAGGTCATTTCTTTGATGAAAGGACGCAAATTAATACCTCAGTTTTCAATCATTAGAATACAGTGAGGCTCGGCGGTCATGTTATGTAAGTCCGCACATCAGCAGAGCTAATATCACACTCAAATGTTGTTGCCTGAGAGCATTATCAGGCCCCCCGTCGACACTTTTCATCCCTTAATAACGGCCACAGAAGAATCAACTCTTATTAACGCCGGGAAGTTTACTGTGGGGCTCGCAACGCGCTGCTGCATGCGGCAAACATCCAGCAGCACACAATGTACACAGAGAGACATCATTCAAACATGGTGGATTGACTGTATGTGGTTTGCACCAACTGTCTGTGCACAGAGAGACTTTATCTCGCACACAGCGTCCTTGCTTCGCTCCCTTTATCTACTTTTCGCAGAGGCACCACTTCCTATTCCCTTTTGCAAAAGGGAGAAAAGACGTCGCGCCCCTGTGCAATCATTTTCTCTCAGCACATCCACCATCCATCTTATCTACATGATCGGCATTATTGATTTAGTTACTACATAACCACCGGACAATGATTTATGTGTTGTTGATCGCACAGAACCGACGGCTGACAGGCACACTGTATCCATGACCTTCATGAATCGCAGCGAGCCCAGCAGATCTCGGCATAGGTAAACACACACACCCACACGAGCACGCAGTGCGCAGAGCGAACCTACTACCTACTATACACAGAGGCCTATAAATAACACCGCAGCCTATCTGTAAATTCACAGATGTGTAGGAGAAAGAGGAAGAGAGAGGAACAAATGATCAGAGGGAATCAAATGTGAGACTATACAGGAAGGAGAGAAAATGTGCTCGGCAGCATTTTTTTTTTTTTTTCCTTTTCTATACTGTCTGTGTCAACGACTGCAGTTACAGGAAGCTAAAGGTGCTCTATTAGAGGATATAAATGAAAAGGTAGGAGAGTGAAAAGGTGGGGATGTAGAATGCAGTGAGAGGAGGGATAAAAGATGTGTGAAATAATTACAAACTAAGAATAGTGTCTGAGCTCACTGCACTATAATGGATATCTGCCTGAATACCACTGTGCTGTGACATAAAGACAAAAGTGGAAGATTGGGATAAATTGAGGATTACATTAAAGTTTCACTGGGTGCCTTTAAAAGACAAGTTTGTTCAGAATAAGCTTAAAAAAATAAATTAAAAATAGAGTAAAATAGAAACAGAAGAATTATGTTTGCATCAATTAGCACAGCTTTCAACTCGTCTGAGAAATGTCAATTTTGAACGCCAACACAGCAAAATTAAAAACTCTCAGCAGAATGTAATTATGTGGCTTCTATGTGTGCATGAAAAGCTTCTAAGATGTAAAAATGTTATCTCACTCATTTATATTAAATATATCCGTTATTTTAAAGGAACATTTTCATGCAGTGCCATCTAATACATTACAAAGCCATTATTTTTGACAGTTTAAACCAGTGGTTCTTCACATTGTTTTTCCTTAAGGTGCTCCTTCTCTACCTTTAAGTAAACTAAATAAGTGCCATATTTTGCTGATATTTCATATTATATTCAATGCAAAACAGTAATAGTGAAAAACAACAGATTAATTGTATAATTAACCCAAATATTGAACCAAATAACTGCAGGAAGTTTCAGTGAAACAAGCAATTTGGGTGAATTCTGAGCAGACTTCTTCCTGTGATTGGTGCACCAGAGAGGGTTTATCCTGATATTTAAGGGACTTTTTATATGATTGTCTATTTTGTGTATTTCTTTTAACTGCTAACAATCATACACACTTCATAAATTAATTTTTTTGTCTCTCTGACACATGGCCGTTGTTCTAATAGCTCTTCAGTTGTTTTATCTGTGTACTTTTTTGATGCAGGATGAAGCCGTATAGCAGAGAGTGAAGACTCTGTAATTACAGCTTGTGTTCAGATCTTTACTGTGCCTTTATCCTGTGAGATTATTTTTAAGTTTACATCATAATTAATAATCTAAAATCTGATATTAACTAATTCATTTAGTTTCCCGTACAGAAATTAATGGTAGAAAACTGGTAGAAAAAGATTTCCAAACACTTTATTGTTCAGCTTTCAGATTGGAATCTCAACAATAAAGTGAAACAATAAGAAACAATGAGTTTGGACTTGTTTTTGTGTTTGTTGTTTCCAGCACCTTGCCAAGCCCAAGCCAGGTGGAGCGGTGGTTGTTCTGCATCATTAACAGAAATGAATGAAATGCTCAAATATAGGCCTATTGTATATATTTTTTTATCTTTAAAAGTTTTCTTACTCCTCTTAAAATCAAGAAAAATCAAGGCCTTGTGACGCCCCTGTGACGCTTTGGAGACACCTAATGGGTTTTGAAACCCTCAGATTGGAAAGCAGTGATTTAGACACCTCAAATAAGTTTAGCTTTATTCCTAACTTTAACTTTATACCTAATTTTTTTGTATGAAACACAAATTTAATACATTAAAACAATTGTTTAATACTTTTGATTAAAAAGAAAACAGGTTGATACAAAATTTTTTTGTTGCTACTGTGTGAACTGAGATTCTGCTGCTAAAAATGTTTATGAAGGACCATGAAATATAAAGTATGCACAAAAAGAATTAAAAAAAACTTGCATATGCATTTTTTTAGTTAATTTTAAGTAATGTGTACATGTGGGTGCATTTTACACTAGATTTTTGAGTACATAACTGTTTATCTTGACTAAATGTTAAATAAAAGTAGCTACAAATGGTAAAGAATTTAAAAGTAAATTAAATCAATCACAAGCAGCAAAAAGTGGCTCAGATTAAAGGAAATGAAATAGACATAGGTGTAATTTCAGGGAGGATGCAGGGGAGATTTCCCCCCTAAATATTTAGAACATGCATTTGTCTCTTCAGTGAAAACATGAAGGCAGCAGAGAACTTCTGTTTTGATGAAATTTAAGACATTTCCACCATGAATTGAGGCAGAAAAGGCACAAACTGGATGCAGCAAATAAAATGTTTGATGCTCAGAATTTCCTAGAGGAGGACCCCAAACCTCCTGTTTCATATATGTCCTCCACCAATGTTGAAATGAAGCCTACACCCCTGGAAATATGTTATTTTTTTGTTTTTTTAAATCGTATTCCTCATTAAAACATATACAGAACCACTGTCCCTGGAGCCTTTACATCCAACTTCTTTAAAGCAATTTTTACTCCTTATTTAGACATTTTTTATTTTCAAAATTTAAAATGCTCGCCAGAAATAATTTGCCAAATATTAATTCACTGCTCTCCCTCGCCGCTGTCCCGCCTGACTCTCTCCCTGCAGTCAGTGAGGGCTGCGGCCAGGGCCACTCTGCTGCTAGTCGATTTTCTGATGGAGGGCTTGACCATTTTGGGCATTCAGGTATTGGATTTGGCTTTGAGGAAAGGACGAGAATCGGGGAATGGAAATGAGATTGTGCACAACAGATGTAAGAAGTGGAGTAAAACAGGAGGGATGATGAGGGCAGTTACGAGCTGAGCTTATGGCTTTATGCGATAAAGATCGATGTGGAGCTGCTCTGCAGCAAAAACTGTGAATTCCCAGATTCGACAATCGATAATTTATTAATGTATCAACCAAAACTGCAACGACGTGCACACACCAAACCTGGCTTTGTTTTTTTTGGAATGCACAACCTGAAGCGGTCAGAAACCTGCTCATTCAAATTAAAACCCCCAATTGATTTTATGATTACCATCATTAGACCATCCAAATGACTGAGAGGCACTCCTGCAGCACAAATCAGTCGAAAGTGAATAAAAAATTGCGCCCATCCCCCCGCAAAACAAAACGGATTCTGAATAATGATGAATAGTCATCGACTCGTCTCTCAGACCGTACGGCGCATGAGCCCTTCCTGTTCCTCTCCTGTCTTCAGTCCACAGGCAGCATGGCTCTCCAGGTCAAAGTTGAGTGGTTTGTCTCAGCACCCTACCCCCTCTTCAACCCCGTCAATGCCCACAATGCACCAGTGAGGAAACCACACAACCCCTTTTGTTCTGCAGAAATGCAGGAAAACACACTCTCTCTCACACACACACACACACACACACACACACACACACACACACACACACACACACGCTCACTCACACACGTCCTCCATATGAGACGCAGTATCACACTCACGCCTTCACGTCTCAGATGAGCTACATTTCTGAAGCATGGGCTTGCAGCAGCTCGGTCGCTCCACAATTACGTAATAAAATGCAGCATGTGGATTTACATGTGTGTGTGTGTGTCTCCATGTTGGTGTGTGTGTGTTAAAAAAAAAAAAAAAAAAAAACTTCACAAATCTGAACCTGTAACCTGAGTCCCCTCCTCTCGAGTGACCTGGCGGGTGTCCTGACCCGTTTCAGTTTACGCACAGAGGTCAGGAAAGGGCACGGCTGCGGAGAGGGAACGAGAGAACGTGAGAGAGAGAGAGAGAGAGGGAAAGAGAGAGAGGGTGAACACAAAATGGAGGAGTGGCCTGGAGCAGGGGGTGGTGGATGAGGGAGGGAGTTTGGAGGAGGCGGAGGAGGAGGAGGTGGT